CAATGAAAGTTAAAGTGGGTGTGCTAGGGATAGACTGTTTGATTTCCATCAGCTGGGCTGCAAGTTATCCCTGGATACAATTTTGAGTGAGCGTTCATGTGAAGTATCTAATCAAGTGTACTCTTAATGTTTTGCCGTCCGCAGCATAATATGATTAAATATCTTCATTAATTTTCAAAAAGAAAATTAGAAATGACGTTCATGAGTTCATTGAGTTGGCGTGACGTATTAGGGGGCAATTTCTAGGTAGAAATCTGTGATCATGCTCACTACAAAACACAGAAGCCGCGTGACAATGACGAATCTGCGTATTTCTTAATTAATTTCCGGGCAGCCAGCCGTTGCATCACGTTCTGCCATAGCAACATAAGATTTCTTGTGTATTTTTCTCTACTAGTTGCACTATGAATGTTCTGTAATAGAATGGCAGGCCAATAGAGGTTGGTGTGATTGTCGTCGTGTGCCTTATACGTACGATGCGTTTAAACACCATGATAATAATCATAGCTATTTAGACCTTATTATAAGCACATATATAATTAAATATAATATTATATATACAATTTATATAATATATATATTTATATATAATATTGCTTATAATATATAAATTATATATAATCTCTCTCTATATATATATATGTGTGTGGTTAATCTATAATAATTAGGCCTAGTAGATATTAATGTATGGATATGTTTACTAGTGTTAATTTCTGTATTATTTCTAGGGGTTAACCCGGCATGAAGTTTATTGACAGAGTTTTGCCCGCGGTGCGCATCAAAAAATAAAGGAGATAGACATATGCAAATGAAGACAGGTATCGTACAACCGCCGAGTTACCGGCGTCCGCTGGAAAGAATCACAGTAACGGCCGTTGCGAGCCAGCGGGGATCTCCTCAAACCACTCAATATTATATACTGTCTATCGATATATAACACGCCGGCTTAACTAATCGCTGCCTTAGCACGCGGTGTTGATGGAAAAATCAGAAACCCGCACGCCTGCAGGGCGTGTATACGTTGACATGCGCAGGGGAGCAGAAAGACGCGAAAACTATGTAGATTAGAGGTGTTGTGAGTCTTTCAGTTTCAACTGAGCAGTACCCCCTCGGAGCAGAGTAGGTCTAGCATCCTAAATCCGACAAGGAATTCCGCGTTCGAGGCGTTGCAGAAACAGTGTAAATGATGTGATCATAAGATGAAGAGCACATCTATTAGGGTAAATGGATAGCATAGCTGCTGGCTATACCACACCGCGCGTGTGATGGTGACACAACACCTGTGTAATACCGTAATTATACCGTGTAGATACTACCCCACCCACAAGATAGATACTAACATTTACATAGCCTGTTGAATTATTGTATGCACCCCCGTGTGTGAATATTTGTAAGCATTCGTACAACGACGTGTGGAAAACAGTACGCACAACCTTGTGGAATAACTGTGATCATCCACATCGTGTGCTTTCAGGTGTGGAATATACGAGCTAGAAACACTCTCTGTGTGTAAATTGTTACATGACGAGTAGAATGTTGTACATGCCCCTGTAGAAATTGTAATACACACCTGTTAAGGAGGGCATCGAGAGCGCGTGTACGGTAGCGGTCTGACCTGTACCCGTGGTCGAGGATCTCAACTGGCTTGTGGCCCAAAACGGATACCAGCGGCTTCTACGTGCGATGTCTTCCTCAGCGGCTAGTAGCCGCGTTCAAATACATTAGTACATACATCAACATACCTAGTTTTATTCAGACTACAACCGCTGCGCAAAGCAGTGCCAAACACTCACGATGCTGGCATGAATGAGCACGCTGTGCGGTGCCGCGGAATAGTTAGTCCAAAGCTAGACATCCGTTGCTGAATAGACCAGAGTCGAGGAGAGTTTTTGCTCGAATGGTAATATTCATCGATCGATGACGTCTTACCCGCTCAGCTAAGATAAGGAGTAATAAAGATATGAAGACGCCGCAGACGGGTAGTGCAAGACTATAGGCTGTACGTCGAATTGGAAATGAATAGAATACGATCAAGAGCTAATCATAATGATACACCTGCATTAGTCGCATATGTATATGTGTTTATGTTAGCGATATTTACGTATTATTAGTATATACATAGACATGTATGAATTAGCATTGATAAAAATTGACGGAGCAATGTGCCCAGCGTGTTCCCGGGAAACGTTCAGTTTTACTTCCTAACTCAGCCGCCGCGTATATACTTTGCGTTCGACAATGAGAATATCAAATTAATATGTCTCTCTCTGTAAGTCGAGTGATAACACCCCGGAGTACATAATATAGAACCTAATGATTAGATATGTCTATATTTTGACACTCCTGAATTAGTTAACAACTTCCGCGCGCGTCGGGGAAAACGTGGGACTAGGTGCGAAACAATCGCATATCAGTTGTGCAAATCGTCTCAGCGGAAAGCGGTTTTGCAATATTTCTATGCTCATCGTGGGTGCACGGACGGCGCGTTCTCCAGCTGTTCATTTGCAGCGTAATTAGCGGTAGGTGTGTAATCAGTCTGGATTTCCTAATTCCATGCTTGATTTGGCATTAACGCTCTGCTCGTTATTTTGGCTCACATGAATTCGCGCGTGTGATAATTGCAGTTCATCATTCGAATTGATTTTTACTCTTTTAGCAATGCGCGTGACTAAATCATTATGTATGCGTTGAATTGTTAATCAAGTTGTAAAATTCACGGAGTATTGGGCTGCCATCTACAATGGGGGGATATCAAATACATGAATGTCTCGCTAATCGCTAATTCGTTCTGTTAGCGTACTCATATAACATCCTACAAGACAATACCTGCTGAAACATACATACATGGCGATGTGCCATGTTTTAAGTTAATTGCAAATTAATTTATAATTGTCAAATAATTAACTTTGCAAAATGATTATAATCGATTGTTTCCAAACAATTTCACTTCCCGGAATGTTGCTGTTCTCCATAATTCTGCAATAATTTATACGAGCACAGGCCGGTTATGCATTATCTTTATTAATTGCGGTTATCCAGCTGCTTTAGGAAAATAACGCTTATATAGAATGCCGCTTAAATAAATATGATCTAATATCTGTAAGCTTAATGCAGAGTGAAAACTTTAATGAACATTTACATCTGCAGTTTAGAAATGCTTAACATTTTGCTCGCGTAACTCCGTTCTGCCATGCCGTGCATTTTCCCCACATTCATGTCTTTCATTTGAACATAAAAATGCAGAGAGTACTAACGCTAGTGTATGACGACTATATCTTACTTCTTGATTAGTAGATATATGCAACTACTTTGAGCAATACGCCGGAATATGACTCCCTTCTTGTGTACTGCTGATCCCACTTAACCCCTGATGCAGTGGATACGCACCAGAGTACTGGGAACTGTGACAAAAATGTGCTAAGTATTATACATATTACGGCTGACCTGTGACACTAAACCTTACCAGGGTCGTACCTTGCCAGAGAGGGCAAGGCGGTCAGCTTGACCGCGCTAAACCAATCGTCTATACCATACATACAGTGCTTAATGACGAATCAGGCGCTCTCACGTGTCAACTCGCAACAACCCAAAACTGCCGAGTTGGCATTGCCCATACACGCGCAATCAAGTTATGCCTGAGCCTAATCCTGCGGTAGGGTGGCTGTGTGTGTGTGTTGGATGGTGTGTGGCGTCGCGGGCGCGTGCTGCGTGCGTGCGTGCGTGTGCGTGTGCGTGTGCGTGTGGCGTGTGCGCGTGTGCGGATATGTGTCGTGTGTGGTGTGCGTGCGTGTGCGTGGAGGTGCGTGCGTGTGTATGTTGCGTGTGTGTGTGTGTGTGTGCGTGCGTGCGTGTGCGTGCGGTGTCGTGCGTGCGTGCGTAGCGTGCGTGCGTGCGTGTGTGCGTGGTGCGTGTGTGTAAGTAGTCGGTATGCGTGTGTGTGTGTGTGGTGTGTGTGTGTGTGCGTGCGTGCGTGGTGTGTGTGCGTGCGTTGTTGGTGAGTGTTTGCATGTGCATGTGTGCGTGTGTGCGTGCGTGCGGGCGTGCGTGCGTGCGTGCCCGTGCGCGTGCGTGCATGTGTATGTGCGTGCGTCCGCACGCACGCGCGTCTGTGCGTGTGCGTGTGCGTGTGCGTGTGCGTGTGCGTGTGCGTGTGCGTGCGCGTGCGTGTGCGTGTGTACATAGGAACTCGCGCCATACCGATAATAAAAATAATAGTAAGTAATCACGAGTTATATTTACTACGCAGGGGTTTAATGGTTATGTACTCTATATCGCTCGATAACTCCACGTTACCGCTGTTCAAACACTCTTGGATAACACTCGCGTGCCGGTGCGCACGAGCTCGTAAACACGCGCAAGTCAACACAAATTCACAAACTCTCAAACGCCATTTTTCGCAGGTTTGTGCAGAGGGTCGTACGTGCGGGTAGATTGTGTGTTGTAGAACAGCATTTGAGCAGCGTTTACGCGGAATTATTTAAAAAAACAAGAGCATCAAAAATTTTGTAGTGTGTATAATTTCTGTATATTTACCATAATTTTACCAGAAGTGAATAAAACAAATATGGTTTGTTTTTATTCACTCCCGCTTTTATTTATTAGAACACCCCAAATGCACGTGCGTGTATTTCGTCCTATGACACATTATAATAAATGAATTGTTTTTTCAATTATATTCACCAATTAACGATAATTTAATTTTTTTTAATTACATTGTCCTCTTGTCCTCTTGTCCTTACATTCTAAATCCTACCGTGTCTTACTGAACATGGAATTCATGCCTATATGATGTTATCATTTTACCTTACCGCCCAAAATTAGAAATAGAATAAAAGCTCTGCGCCATTGCTATCGTGCTGTTATACGTCCACTACTTATTTTCCCATGGTGACGCAGATGTGTTGCAGCTGTACTAGATCTCTGACCATTAATCAATCAATGACAATCGATAAACCGATCGTTTTCTCACTGATGCGATGTCGTGTGATGCTTTCTCCTAG